TTAGGGGTACGGATTATAAGTAAATATAACATAATAATCTCGCATCTGATCCCAAACGAGGCAGAGCCTTTACTGTTATTTTTTTCTTTTTTTTTATGTTAATTGGGGCAGACGAGCAGACGGGTCACCTGATGGAAAGTGACTATCGCCGCCCATGAACGTCTGCAACTCAGGAGTCACAAACGCGTTGCCGGCCTTTTAGGAAGGAGTACGCTCTTTTCTTGATGATTTGAAGGTCGTATCGGTGCTCTCAAACTGAGATGTTAAGACAAATGGTACCTTTTTTTTGTGGTAACCAGACTGCTGATAAACATATGTAGTAAAACAACAATAAGACAGAATTATAAATATATATTTCATTGACATTTGTTGACATTGTTGACATTGCGTCCTAGACTAAGCAATGGTTCCAATATTACCTTCAATAAGCATTTAATCAAGAGTCACTTGGCTTCCTGCATATTTCAATGGACAAAACCAATAGTCAAACAAAACAAGTAATGTTTTATTTCTTTTGCACAGAATTAAATGCGTACTTACCAAGATGTCCATCTTTGATGCTAGCTCCCAAAAAAGTGCCTTAACAGCCATCACATTTCTCAAGAAAACCGAAGTGTTGCCAGTTAAACGAATCAAATCGATTTTTAAAGACAAATACTAATAATCGTTTGATATAATTTATAAAACCTAACCATTCGTCCATCCTGACCTCGTGCATGTCCTCATGCACGCAAGCCATTGGAATCCTGAACCTAACATTCGGCTTGTTAAGTCACTATAGCATCAAATACAAATCATCTTGTACAAATTTAAAACAGGGTAACAAAACATAGTTTCATTGCCAGACCAGATTCTACTCTTGACAGCATCATTTCCAATAAATACAAATAGGTAAAGTAAAACCTTGTGAAGATTCTCACAAGAGTCACATTTTATAAACTACATTTCTAAAATCAATATTTGAATTCTTTAAATAATCTTGTGGTTTCATCTCAACAGTAACATCTCATTTACAACCTTCGGCTATGTTGCTCTTGAGCAATTCCTGTCTCACCAAAAGCAACACACTCGTTAAGCAATTATGGTCTACGAGCCCTTCATTTCTACAGACCATAATTACTAAGGAATATCTACTTATAACCAATCTTATGGTTCCACCTCACAAGAGTACAATAAGTAATCATTTTGCATTGTGCTTATTTGCCATATAATTAGAAATAAGATAATTACATTTTGTATAGAGATATTCACGCACAGATTTTATAATCATATTTCTTGTTTCAGATGAATAGCTATTACAATTGTATAATAATGTATGTAATTATAATACCCCGGTTCATTTGTGTATATATTCCAAAACACTACAACCGCATAGTCCTAACGACCTTGTTGGAAATACATAAGTTTTACACAGCTGTTTATTCTACACAAACATACATATGTATCAGTATCGTTTAATACACAAATTGCAAGAATAACACAAAATCAATTATGACGGCACGTCATTTGATACCTTACACTCATTTAGCTCACACATACAGTTAAAATATGAGGTATTATATTCGTATTGCCAAATTAAATAATTTACTTTTACATGACCTTGTATGAATTAATAATGTACATAAATGACTCCTAACATATATCGAATCACAATAACTGATATAAGCATACGAGTATAATGTTTACATCGTTTCATCATCATTGTCATTGCTATCGGTATCATCACTGTCAACGCCCTCGTTTACCTTCAAGGCAGCAACATGAACCCAAGGCAACATTCGATCGGAAGCTACGGTGGTTTTGCGATTGTTTTTAGTGCTACTTAGTCCGGGTATAGCGGCAATCCTGTAACGGTCATTCCCTACGACGGCAACCACTCGATAAGGCCCAATGTATGACGGAATAAGCTTTTTGCTTTTTCCGTCGTTATTAAAAGAGGTTCTCGTGATTTTAACTAAGTCTCCTTCATTACAGACACGCGCAGGCCGTCGATTTCTATCATAATATAATTTTTGCTTTTGTTGTTCTTCGTCGATTTTATCTTTCACAGATGTCCGAATATCAACTAAATCAATATTTTTTCGAGCTTCGCGTACTACGTCATTCAATTTAGGATTAATCTCAGAGTTCATTTTTGGTCCAAACATTACTTCTGTCGGCGTCCTACCCGTGGTCTTATGAGGAGTATTATTAATACCCCATTGAACTCTACCTACCTTATCATCCCAGTCTCTTTCGTCGAAATTTAGATTTTGAAGCAAGGATTGTACGATTACATCTTTCAACTTGTCCGTTGGATCTTGGGCTAGCGACCGCATTAAGAATATGTCGTATGCCCTTATCCGCACAAAAATGTTGATAATACGATCGGGATTCCTAAATGTATAGAATATTTCTTCCAATACTTGTAATGTGGACTGTGTTTTTGTGTTACGAACCGGCCTAATGAATGTAAATTTCGTAAAACCGTCTACTACCACTAACAGGTAACAGTTTCCTCTCTTTGAACGCACGAATGGTCCAAGGTGGTCAATATGCAAGGTGTGGAAAGGAATTTCGACTTTATCAATTGTATGCAGCAAGCCTTCTGTGATACTAGTTTTCTTTGAATACGCGCATTCCAGGCAAGCCTGTACGTATTTTTTTACAAACCTAGACATTTTTGGAAACCAATAAGTCTTTCTTATACGCTCAAGGGTTTTCTCTACACCCAGATGACCAATTTCATCATGATTCATACGACAGATCTGCCACCTCGCACCCTTCGGCAGAACCCAACGTATTTTGGTCTTATCCGAGTCAATATATCTATAAAGTTTTTCGTCTCTAATCAGGTAGTTGTCTCCGATATATTTTAGCCCTTCAGCGTTCATATCAGATGCCAATATATCACGAATCCGAACGAGTCAACTATCGCCTAATTGTAAAGTCTGCATCCAATCATCTTTACTGATAACCATCACACTGGGATATTGTTCGTCATTGTTATCATTAATCTCACCATTATCTGAAGGATTCCGTGACAAGGCATCTACGTGTGACATCTTCGCACCGTCCCGATACTGCACCGAACACCGAAACTCTTGTAAAAGTAGCCACCAACGTGCGATACGTGGAATTAAGTCACGTTTGGTAAATGTCGAACGCAGTGCACTACAGTCAGTTATGATTTTAAATTCCTGCCCTAAAAGATAAACTCTAAATTGTTTTAGTGAACATACTACAGCCAGCGTCTCGAGTTCAAACGTGTGGAAATTTTTCTCTTCGGGCGAGGTCTGACGGCTATAGTAAGCCACAGGTCTAAAGTTCCTTTCGCCGTGAGAACGTTGCATTAGTATCCCCCCAATACCAATTTTGCTGGCGTCGGTATGCAGCTCTATTTCAGCATTAGGGTCATAGATGGTTAATATGGGCCTATCTACCAACCGATTTTTGAGTTCCGTAAACGCTTTCTCCTGTTCCCCCTCCCATACCCAGGCCACATCCTTTTTAAGCAGTCTATTAAGCGGGTGAGATAGTGTTGCAAAATTTCTAATGAACTTTCTGAAATATCCAACTAACCCCAAAAAATGGCGAACAGAATGCGGATAGGTCGGACAGGGAAAGTCGAGAACACATCGAACTTTCTTATCTCCAGGGCGTACGCCTTCAGCGCTGATTTCATAGCCTAAATAATTAATTTGACTTTGAAGAAATCTGCATTTTGACAAGTTTAGTGTTAGATTTGCCTGCTCTATCAACCTCATGACCTTTTCAAACCTATCTAAGCACTCATTTACGGTTTTTCCATATATAAGTACGTCATCAATGTACGCGGTTGCTTCTGAAAACCGCGCAGATCCCAAGACTGTTCATTAACCGTTGAAAAACAGCAGGTGCGTTTGCAAGCCCAAACGGCATACGATTAAACTCATATTGGCGATCTGGAGTCACAAATGATGTTAAAAACTTTGAATCTTCAGAGAGTGGCACCTGGTAGTACCCGGATGCTAAATCTAAGGTTATGAAGTATGCTTGCCCTGAAAGCCTAGCAATCTCGTCTTCAATAACCGACATTGGGTACCGCTGTTTCACAGTAACAGAATTCAACAGTCTATAATCGACGCAAAGTCTCTGTTTCCCGTCCTTCTTACGGACCAGTATTATAGGACTCGCATATTCGGAAACAGATTCTCGAACTATCCCTGCACTAATCATCTCCCCTACCATTTCTCTCACGTGTTCACGTTCCTTATGAGACAGCCTGTATGGCCTATACACAACGGGTTGGTTACTGTTTAATTCTATCCGCATCTCAGCCATATTCGTACATCCCAATTCTTTCAATGTTCCAGCAAAACAATGCCTGTACTTAGACAATAAATTCAAGAGTCGTTGTTTCTCATACTCCTGAACTGTATTACTTATTATTACCTGATTTGGATCTATATCATTGTGTTCGATTATGGTAGAGTTACTAGATAAAGAATTCATGCTATTGATTACGTGTACCTTAGGCCCCCTACCTAATACATTCCCTTTATATAAATAATAAGTACCCGACAACGGAATTACGTGAATATAGACTATCCTTTCGTAACCACATATATCCCACCGACTACTATAAGTTCTTGATTCGGCGTTCCGATTACTTTTCCCTTTAAAGTAATGTTCCCGTCAGTAACAATATTAGCTCGGGTTTTAATAGCAGCTGGTCCATATACACTCACATCTGCATAGATTGTGATAGTAACAGTCAGATCATCTATAATGTCAAATTGCGGTAATGGTACAACATCAGAAGTACTAAAGAATTTCAATTCCTTAAAATTTTTAAACACTAGTATATGACTTTTAAACTTTCGCGTTCCATGATAATTAATATTATTTAACGGGAATTAACGCGATCTCTTCAGTCAGAGTCAGAGTCAGCCTGTGACCACGGCCGGTGCAACCTGGTCGAAACGTCAGGCAAACCAGAGGTATGTAATACCCTAAATAAGAGATCGCGTTAATTCCCGTTAAATAATATTAACTAGTATATGAGCCTGCTCTGTAAACGACTGGCCCATTAATAAAGGCGTTTCCAGAAATCCATCTTCTACAACATGACAAACGACATCTGCACTAACATCGTCAACACACAGATCAACCCTAACTCCACCAATAGAGCTAATAACATTGTTTCCAAAACCCTTAAGGGGTCTAGGAGGATAACTACAAGCAAGTCCGAGAGAAGATGCCAAAGTCTGTTGCATAAGCGAGACCTCACTACCGAGATCTATAAATGTCTTAACTGGTATCCCATTTACTTTCACTTCTCTGATAAATTTCGAATTCGATCCCGACGTCATTATGCTCATCGTGTTGGAGACATTACTATGTTTGTCATTTGTCTCGATTTTAGAGAAGCAAGTTTCCACTTTGTGACCATACCTATTACATCTTGTACATCGAATTAAAGGCTTAAGGCACTTAGAATATGGATGTCCCTTTTACTTACAATTAAAACAATACATTTCACCGTGCTGATTATTAAAAGTTCTAACTGGTCAGCTAGTTTTATTGTAAGTAGTTCTCGTGTCTACAAGGGACCTATTTTTGAAATTGTTATCTGAATGTTGCGAGACATCCCTATTACTCATGAGGAAATTAAGAAGTTGATCTGGCCGCGAACAGCGCAATGCATTAGCGCTGGACCTTATAGTTTTGTCAGTTAGTCCGTGAATAATACAATCCACCGCACGCTTGCCATCGATGTCACATTGGTTCAATAGTGCTAGTTTTTCGTAATAAAACATTTCAAGAGGTTCATTGGGTCTAGTCTTCCGTCTAAGCATGGCCTCCAAAGATTGGCCATAATTTTGTTCGAAGGGGAAAGCAATCAACAATTTTTGTTGCCATTCGGCCCAGCTAAACAACATCGAATTTAAACTTTCGTACCAAAGTTACATCATACATCAATCCTTTGAACCTTTGAAGAAGGATCAAATTCAGGAAGAATATTTTTCTGGTTTGTATGACTATTAGAATGTGATAAAGTTATAACTGGTGACGGCTGAGGTTTAGGTTTTAGAGAATTCAAGGAGTTAATAATATTCGCATCATCCTTTGATGTAAATAGCGGACTAACCGACCTGATATCCCGTCTGGCTGCCGATGCACGTAGCTCGTCCTGCTGCACACGTTGCGAGCGTCGCATCTCTGGGCGACGTTCTTGCTCCATACTCCTGTCGCGGACGTTGTCCATGTTGTCATTCATATTACGCTGTCGCTGCAGCCCACCCTCGAGTTCATGAATTCGTTGGCGCTGTCTCTTCACTTCCTCGTCGAGGGCCTGATCTTGCGTTAGCCCTCTTTCGGAACTACGCAGACGGCTCCGACTGCGGTATCTATGACTTTCCCGACGAGCGCGACTGCGACTGCGTCTTCCAGCACTTCGACAGGATACCGCCTGTCTTTCCGGCGTTTCTAACCGCCTTTGCGCGGCCTTATCATCACGTGGCATTATCTGAAACTCGAAAACATATTTAATGTATCCTTTCCTTAACGTTACATTTTAAAGTAAACTGGTTGAAATCATATTTCAAACTTTTGCAATAATGTAAGTTCGTCACCCGTATGTACATGGCACCGTAGACTCAACAGTTAGAGTCTAAAACTAACTTTGACATCTTTACACATATTTTCCCCTTTACCCCAAAATACGCAACAGAATCAAGTCAAGTGTTGACAAGCTTGTACCTCACTATCCACTGCTTTGAACTACTCCCTTTACCTTTCATCACATGAGTATGTATAGCATTTTCACGCACAAAAGAAAGACTAACACTAATAATGTTTGTTATCTTCGCTTATTACTTTTGGTTTTTTTTTTATCCAGAAATAGTAAATTTCCATTCACTAAGTTTTAACACTATTGATAGAGAAGTCCGCGTTACTCCTAAATACAGGTAATTTCATGGCCTAACTAAAACAACAGCACTTCACCCACCTGATTGGAGATCTACCCACACTTAAGCTGCATTCCTTGTTATTTCTAAATATTTTGGCACTATTTTAGTACTCTAGTGGACTCACCCACTTCTGAATTGTAGTAAAACAACAATAAGACAGAATTATAAATATATATTTCGATATTACCCTCACAATAAATAGTTGACATTGCGTCCTAGACTAAGCAATGGTTCCAATGTTACCTTCAATAAGCATTTAATCAAGAGTCACTTGGCTTCCTGCATATTTCAATGGACAAAACCAATAGTCAAACAAAACAAGTAATGTTTTATTTCTTTTGCACAGAATTAAATGCGTACTTACCAAGATGTCCGTCTTTGATGCTAGCTCCCAAAAAAGTGCCTTAACAGCCATCACATTTCTCAAGAAAACCGAAGTGTTGCCAGTTAAACTAATCAAATCGATTTTTAAAGACAAATACTAATAATCGTTTGATATAATTTATAAAACCTAACACATACTTATATATTACTTATATATTGCTAAATAATAATGATATTCCACCACATTCACACAACGCCATCTAGTCCCAAAATAAGCAAAGCTTGCACTATGGCTACTAGACAGCTGATATAAATGCATATATATATACTTTTTTGTGTAAATACATACTTATTATACATAGAAACACCCAGAAAAAATTAAACATTGTTTGTCATGTTTGACTTGAGCGGGAATCGAACCCGCGACTTTTGGAATAGCAGTCCGTTACACAAACCAATACGCCACCCAGTCGTCAAATACATTAAAATTACAGATAAACCACAATAAATTAATCAATGTCAAATACTCGTAAGTATACTAAAATCGTGCCTCGGAGATGACATAAAGCCGTCGGTCCCTGTCATCTGAGGTGGCAATCGTTTCGGGTAGTTGGAGTAGGCTCGGAGGATGAAGTATAGCGTAACCTGCCAATCTCAGAGCTACCTGGTCGTACACTGCACAAACTATATTTTTGGACAATTTTTTTAACAAAATGTTAAAAACTTTGTTCAGTCACTACATGAGTTAAATGGGGGAAGTACTAATTCCATTGAGGCGGGATTGCGGACAGCAGCTAGGTTATAATTACGAGAACACATAGATCGATATTGTCCGCCTCTGTCAAGGCAAACAATAATAGGCAACAGAAGCCTAATCGATGTACATTATTGTGAATCCGCGCTTGGCTACAGCAATGCGATTGTGGACGTCAGTATTTTTTTTATGCGTCTCTTCAGTGAGCAGTGAATTTAATAAAGGGGAATGGAAGGAGTTTAAAATCAAACAAGGACCGGTGCGGGGCTATCGGGACTCCAGTGGCGAACTGTGGATTTTCCGTAATATACCTTATGCCACAGCACCGACAGACAAAAATAAATTTAAGGTAATAAATTGTAATTATTTCTTAAAAATTTAAAACGATAGCAAATTACTCGTTTAAGATAATGAATCGATCTATAATAATTAAAATATAAATAATTAAAAAACTCAAAAAGTTTTGCACCTATCGAGCTCTAATTTATTGTTTATTTATATGTTATATTTGTTATCTATTTTTCGCGTGTGTCTTGTTCCTCACTTCTCATGAATGTAACCACAAAGTGCCACAGCGAAGCGTTGCAGGGTACAGCTAGGTTTAAATAAAATAATAGTGGATATCGACGTAGTGCTAAATTTATCGTTTGGTTTATATGTAGAGGTTAATTTATATCTTAGAAGGTAGTATAAAAATATATTCGTAATGAAGTACATTTCGGTAATTGCTAATATAATTAATTTAATAATATAGAAAGATTGCTTTAGCAAATTATTTCATAACTGGTCTCGAGTGCCCCTGCAGTATCTATCTATGATAAGAAGTTTTGTGGATTGAAATTAATCAAACATTATTTGATTATTTAGTCATTACTAGATTAGATAGTAATATACATACTGTACTTATTTCATAATAATATCTATATACGTACGCTTTTAAATACTTAATTTTTTACTTGTAGAACGTAACAAGACTTAAGAATTTATTTATTGTATTCATTAAAAAGACCGCTTTAACACTGCACGGGGCTGAACTAATGCCGAATGGTCTCAGTCAATCTTAGGATGGTACTGCGACGAACAGGCACCTGGAACAGGAAAAAGCTATAAGTGATAACTGATAACACACTCAATTATTCAAAAATAACACTATATATAAAAGCATATAAATATAAAATTTAAAAAACATAAATTTTCATTAATGTTAGCCTATAGCTAAAAAAATTGCTCTCTTACCTTAATTTGTTATTTTTGACATTAAAAATACCGTTTTGGAGTTCGTGTACTTTTTGAACTTGTTGACTAGCAAGTATTATCGTTATTTATGAATTACAAAATATAAATTTAATTAGGTACTTTCTACCTACATTCTATTACAGATAAAAAATACAAATTATATCGGGCCTAAGCTTGCGCTGTACACATGTACATGTATGTACTTTTAATGTTTAGACTGTAATCGTCTGTATGTCAAATTACATATTTTGTATGTTACCTTTAATATGCTTCAACTTTTTATACATTACATTTATCTACTTTTATTTTTTTTTACACGTCACACGTTTTTGTTTTTGTTCGTTTTTGTTGTGTATGTTGTTATTGCTACCGTTTAAATGAGCATATCACAAATACAATGCCCCATTGTATTTGTCATATTAGTTATCTGAATAATTTGTAGCCAATCCCAGTAATTTAATGTCTACCTGACTATAGCATTCCTTGAGATGCCTTTCAGATCAGATTTGGAAGTGTGAAAAGTGTGAGGTTCTTAGTGTTATGGAAAAGAGGCTAAATACGATAAAATATGTTTCTGATTACATTTTAAAATTGTGTATTTATGCTTTGGCTTTTATTTTGTGAGATGCGTGAAGTTTCTTATTATTTTAGTTAAGAAACATTTTCCATAATGTGACGTGGGATAAGCGATTTAAGTACATATGACCCAGCGAAGCGCATGAGTATTAAACTAACGTGCGACTCACGTGCGACTACAATTGCCGGCGCGTAGCAGCCCACTGAATAATGGGTCGAATCCGCTCCGAAATGGAATCGAAGCCATTTTGCTTATTACATATTTAAAGTACGGAGTGGCCCTGGCCTAGTATATAAATAATGATGGCTTGCGTGTGTCGCATGCTGTCTGTATTAGTTTAGATTCGTCATTAATGTCGCTTAATTGTAAAAAAAGTGGCATAACACGGTCATAAAATTACCGGTATACCTAAAATATAAATAGTGATTTTGTACTGCGACTTGTACTGCGATAAAATGTTTTTTAATAAGAAACATTGCATTTGAAGTATTTATTAGTATTTTAAAACATTGTTTAAAGTTACTTGAATCTTTTTGTACGATTTTTATTTAATTTACACCAAAGTCTACACCAAAATCAATTTTACTATGTTTTGCTTAAAGCGGGACCGGGAGATATTCAAAACTCTCCCGGTCAGCCAGGCCCGGGAACGACTAGGTACAGCAGGCGACTCTGGCGTTGGATCGCAGAACGATCTCCGTCCTCCATAGCGTAGGTCTGGGGGTGACAGGTGAGGACATCTGTCACCCTAGCAGAAACAGGCTGGGTTGACGGCGCTTCCAGAGCTCATACAACCTTACTGTAGAACAAAATGGTCAACTGCGCTATTTGCAGATGATACGGCATTCAAACCGTCAAGAAAACAGCCCTGAAATTTCAGTATCGCACTTGTGGCCCTTAACATGCAGGCGTACATCATCATCATCATCAACAGCCTTTATTAGTCCACTGCAAGACATAGGCCTCTCCTTAGAATGGAGGTTTTGGCCTACTATACCACGCTGGCCAGACGGGTTGGTATAGGGTTTGTTTCAAGTTTTCCTTCTCTTTTCAGTGCTGTTGTCCTGCGTAGTTTACTCCCTTAGTCAGCTCTTACGACACCCACAGGATGAATAGGGGTAACGACACTCCGTATTCTTAATCCGTTACCATATTGGAATAAATTTAATTTAAACTTTTTTAATGGTAGGTATCCATATTAGTTAAGAAAGAATAAACATATGAACGTCCTAATCGTCCTCGTACTGTAGTGGAATGTCACTTCGCTTCTTGATAAAGCTCCCCGTGGATAACGGACCTATATGTCTAGGGTTAATCCGTCACCACACGGCGTACATGCGTACATGGGCGGTCATAATCCCTCGAGCTTTTACCAAAGTTGGTTGGGGTCGTCCTTCTCTCTACTCTACGATACAGCTGAACTTAGATTTAATTTACGTGAAGCGACTGCCATCACACCTCCACAACTCAAGTACTGTGCGATATCGGCGATCATTTGAATAATGCTTAAATAATTGAGTAAGATTATAGTATATTGAGAGAAAGGACTAGATATATATAATATTTCCAAATAAGTACATGCCTACGTAACTATAGTAGATTAGTAGCCAAGGGCTGTAAGGCATCAATTGCAGCCCGAGATATTTAGTTCGAGGGTGCAATTGATGCTTACACCCGAGTTAACTATTCTGCTTTACATTTCGATTGCGAGGTAAGTAGAAAAAAATAGCACGTAATTATAAGATAATCTCAAAAACAAACAATTTTATAAGTAAAAGTTTTCTATTCCCGCCTTTTTTCATTAAAAAGAATCAAGTAAAGAACTTTTTAAGTTTTTTTTTCAAGATCGAAATTGAGCTTCGCCGTTCGATATTTAAAATTGATGACTATTATACTCACACGAAGACAAGGCTGAAATAGCAAAGCGTCCTCTTTGGTCATTGGGCTGAATGCATGATGTCTATTGCCAGTATGATGGTTAGATGTACGCAAACTTTTTGAAAGAAATATTATTATTTTTTAAATTACTTACGTCCCTAGGGCTTTTCTAGCTACATTATTACCCTAGAGCGCTAATTAGTCACTTACAAGCCCCATTTGGAGGTAATAAGAACCTACTTACCGAACATGAGAGATGTAAAATTAATTACATAGCACTAAGTTGCACACACATCGGATAGCTAAAATTATACATAATCATGATTTGGTTACCTACGTAGTTCTGTCAACCTAAAGAAGAAACCTGAGAATAGAAAGTTAATACAATAAATAGAAACAAATAAAAGTGTGTAGGTATTTATGTTTATTCATTGTCTCTTAAAGTTTCACTATTGAGTATATCGCTCAGAATACATTACATTAGTACATTAGTATACACTATTATCACATCGAAAACTATGTAATTTTGATTGTACACGAGTTACGGGATAAGGTAGCAATATTTGTCACATCCCTGGGGTTTTCGCAACAAGAGCGAGGATTCCCGCTTTCCTTTACCATACATATGTATTTACTCAAATACTGTTTATTTTACAACACTGTAACTCAATACTTACAGTAAATTTTTGTTGTAAAGTACATCCCTTATGTACTCGGTAAGGTTTCTTTTTGTTAAATCAATAAATAATTCCCTAGTCGTCTTGCACTTTTTGTTGATGAAAATGTAATTGTATGTCGATTTAACTTTTAGGCGCCTCTTCCACCACCAACATGGACGGAGTCTCTGGATTCTGTTGATAAACGCATAGTATGTCCTCAGTTTTACGAGGAAAATATAGTTAAGGATGCAATAATCCAAGAAAATTGTCTAATAGCAAACATTTATGTACCCGATACTAAAAAAGAAAATTTATCGGTCCTTGTATATGTTCATGGAGGAGCTTTTCAAGTGGGATACGGCGATTGGTTGAATCTAAGAAACCTTATGAGATACGAGGACTTCATTTTAGTTAACTTTAACTATCGACTGGGCATACATGGTTTTCTTTGTCTGGGTACGGCCGATGTTCCCGGTAACGCTGGCATGAAGGACCAAGTGGCGTTGCTACGCTGGGTACAAGAAAACATCCAAAATTTCGGAGGCAATCCCAATGACGTTACGATATCAGGGTACAGTGCAGGTGGCTCCTCAGTGGATCTTCTAATGCTTTCGAAAGCTGCTGAAGGTCTATTCCACAAAGTTATACCAGAAAGCGGAGCAAGCTTACTTGCATTTACAGTTCAATCAGATCCTTTGAGTATAGCTAAAAATCATGCAAAAGCATTAAACTTTACTGACGTCGATAATATACAAGCTTTAGAAGAATTTTACAAAACACTTTCGTACGACATCTTGACAGCTGATGAGTTTTTTTTAAATGAGGACTCTACCTTTACATTTTCGCCATGTGTCGAGAATGATTACTGGGACGGAGCATTCCTAACAAAATCGCCCTTGACTATACTCAAAACTGGGGATTACAAGAAAGTACCAGTACTGTTCGGTTTTGCTAACATGGAAGGTCTGATGAGAATAGATTTATTTGACATGTGGAAAGATCGTATGAATGAGAAATTTTCGGATTTCCTACCAGTGGACTTGAAGTTCGAAAGTGAAGAAGAAAAGGAAAAAGTTGCAAATGAAATAAAAGAATTTTACTTTGGTGACAAGCCTGTGGACACAGACACTATTCTACACTACGTAGATTACTTTTCAGATGTTTTATTTGTACAAGGTGCACTGTGGGTGGCAAAATTACATGTAGAAGCTGGCCACGACCAGGTTTATTTATACGAATATTCTTTTGTGGACGAAAGTACTCCTGTAGTACCGTTTACTAACGAACGAGGAGCCATGCATGTTGCTCAATCGTTTGCTGTTGCTGACGGTTTCAATTTGACTACTAATAATGAAGATGTTATATCGGAAGAGTATAAGAAAATGAAGAAAATCATTCGAGGTATTTGGCACGATTTCATAATAACAGGGTAAGTTAAGCAGCCGTGTGCCTTGTTTTTTTAAATCTCTCATCATCGTCATCTACTGCCTTTAATAATCCACTGCTGGACATAGGCCTTACGAAGAAGGTTTTGGCCTACTAAAATCTCTCATAAATGATTTAAAAAACAGCGTAAAAACATACCAACAGTCTTTTGCATTTTGAACATCTGATTTAGAAGAGGTTTAAACATCAAATAGATTCTTGAATACCTTACAAAATTGGTTTAGGCATTTCCGGAATGACCGGATTAAATGTCCCTTGAATTTTGGCCGATGGTTATGGTGGTGACCAATTACTAAAATATTATGATTTCTTTCATTTCTTCTGTAAGGTTGTTTTGTCGAGACTTTTCCATTAAAGAGGTTTTTTTTTTTTAATTTCAGTAAACCTGTGCCGAAGGGATCACCTCTTCCTGCGTGGCCGCCTATAGGTGCGGGCAATTCACCATATATGTCTTTGGGTCAGAAGTTGGAACTAGGAAATGCCATTGCACCGGAACGTTTCAACTACTGGCAAACAATCTACCAAGAATATTATAAGGAACCTATTCCGCCTCCATATTCGCCACCAACATTACATATAGAGCTATAAATTAAAAAAAGCAAACTGATAATGCCAACCACATACTATTCCATTTTTAGACAACCAACTATTTTTTTAAATATTTGGGACATCTGATACACAATCTAACTTGCATAGTACAAGGTCTGCTTAGTTTGAAACTGGATGGCGTTGTGTATCAGATGTCCGAAATATAAAAAAAAAATAGTCGTTTGTCTAGAAAAATGGTATATGGTTTGCATTATTTCATTTTTTGTGATTACTTTTAGCACACTCGTTACATGTTTTTTTTTTAATTGTGATTATCGTATGAGTTTTTATAAGTCTACTGTTTTAGACTTATTGTAAAACAAAATGGATTATATGCCAAAGTGCATAGTGTATTTTGCACAGAAGCAATTGTTGACCTAGTTTTTATTAAAAATTTAATATAGTTTAGTTTGTTGTTTATATTTATATGTGTGTCTAAAATAATTAATGATATACTAAATAAATGTTGACTTATTCACTTGCAACTTGCAATTTATTCACTTCGGCGAGCACTTCCTTCACAAATCCCACGGGGTGTTCCGACTAACTAAATACCTTCTGAGGGCGCCAAAGGCACGCTCTACTCTAGGCGGTCAAAGCTGTCGACCACACCGGTGCACCGTACAGTGCCTTGACCGGACAACCCCCGTGTACAGCCGTCTTGTCACGACGCAATGGTCCGACAACAGACCCCCATGAAACACAATACAGAATTATAGGATAAAGAATATCAGCCAGTGTCTCTTGTGTCAACCTAATAGAAAATAAATAACTTTGATGTGAATGTTAAGTAAAAAGACCCATTATCTCGTCAACTTTGTATCTCACGAGGTCGATCCAATTGTGAATGAGCAATAGAATGACTGAATAAATAATTATACACATTAAACAGTATGTCAATTTTCAACATAGGCATATGTCACATTAACATGTAATATTACCATTAATCAACCATATGTTGTGATTGCTGAGTTTCATCTATTTGATTTCCCTTTTCGGGTGTTATGTATGCTGTTTTGGAGCACGAAACTCAAAAATTGTCGAAATGCTGCATTTGAAAATTACGCGTAGAATAAATTTGGATGGTTAATCTATTTATAATAATTACTATAATAAAAATTTTGGGACTGTAACCCAGATAGTACTATTTACTAATTTTATTTTTTTTATATGGAAGAGGGGGCAGACAAGCTGACGAGTCACCAGATGGAAAGTGACTACCGCCGCCCACGAACGCCTGCAACTCAGGCGTCACAAACCCGTTGCCCACCTTTTATTAAGGAGGACGCCTTTTGTTAAAGGTTTGAAGGTAGTATCGGTCCGGAAATACCTCAGACGATAACTTGTTCCTTAAAGTAGTAGTGCGAGGCAAAAAGTGTCTTAAAAAGAGCACAGTGATAGAGCACCAATTATCCAGGTGTAGAACGATGGCGGAAAGGCGAAAGGCTGAACAATTCACTCCAAGCACTCTTAATGATATATATGATAGTGAATGCAGAGTTAAGCTACATCTCTACGTTACGCCAAGGGATCGAGCCGATCGGAGATCATTGGACTATCGACGATGCGAGTCGCTCTTCGTTGGATACGGTCCAGAGGGAGCTGGTACTGAGGTGCCCCTGCATAGAAATGAGAGCAGTATTCCACGTGCAGCCGGACATGCGCCTTATAAACTCTATAGAGCGGAAGGCGGTGGGCCGTAGTAATATACTTTATCTGATTATTATCCTGAACAAGTTTGTGAAGGAATGCCATTCCTGGAAATGCTCACACTGTTATTAAAAACATATTCCGAAAACCATACATATTTTATAAGCTCTTTCTTACTATAATTTTTAACAATTTAGCTGTAACCTTGTCATGTAATAATACATCACCTTGTAACGATGTCAATTAGCATTTGATTCTTTTATCATTTTTTATCCGGTATCTTTAGTGTGTTTCTACAGTAAAATAAAACCGTTATCGTCCTTTATATTTACTGAGCTACGAGTAAACTAGCAAAAAAACATTAAAAAAAGGATAATAGAGTTCTGGTAACCGGACTACGATACACGATAGAAAATATTTACAAAGATAGCAGTTTGATATCAAACATTAGGTATTAAAGAATAATGCGTTATAAAACTTTAACATCTTGCTTATTTTTAAATAAATTGACATCAGTTTTATAATAGAAATATATTACCTGTAATTTGTGCGTATTTAGAAGTATATATGTAAGTCTACTATCTAATTACACACCGTCCAGTATAGTCCATACCAGGTGGTATTGATCAATTGGATCCATTGGATATTGCAATTTCGTATGATAGAGAAACAAACTTGCTTTCTAATATTGATATCAGCAAACCTAACTTCCATAAAGCAAATTATCTGTCGATTCGTAACTACCTAAGTGCTTTAGACTGGGAGCGATTGGGTTGATGTTTTCTACAATGTTATTAACGATGTCATACACAAATACATTTCCAATCGAATGCCCAAGAGTAATTATTTCCGCCCCCCCCCCCCTGGTTTAACAGAAAATCAATAAAAATGTTAAACTCGAAAAATAAAACCAGAAAACGATATTCACAAAAACCCATTGTACAAAATTTAACTGCGGCTAATCAGCAGGCGATGTGATGAATATGGAAAGCCTTGTTACAATAATTATATAAGGCACATAGAATATCAACTCGCACTTAACCCAAAGTTATTATAGAATTTTATTTAAAAAAAATATAAATATAATATAATAAAATATAAATATGTGAATACTTTGCATCGTATTTTTCTACTGTTTATAATCCTGTACAAGACATCTGCGACTACAAAGTTAATTTCTATGATGGGCTACATGATTATACTGTATGTTTAACTAAATAAACCGTCCATAAGGCAGGAAGCCATCTACGATAAAACTGAAAAAATTGGATCGCAATAAAGGTGCTAAACCGGATGGTGTACCAACAATTTTTATTATTGAGTGTGCGGTTAATTCCATTTTCACTTATTTATAATGAATCTTTAAACTTCGGTTTATTGCCCACAAGACTGAAAGTGGCAAAGGTTGTGCCCATTTATAAATCAGACAATGCCGATCTAGTTTCTAACTAGGAACCCATATCAATATTATCAACCCTTGCTAAGCTTTTGGAGTTTTTGATTTGTCCATACATTCTAAATCTGTATCTGAGTCCTGATCAACACGGTTTTGTAGAATCGGGATTCACGGACATAAACCTAACACTTTGGTAATGCATTCGACAAAGTCCCACATAGTATATAAAATGCGAGCATATAGCATTACTGGATGCTTGCTCTCTTGGTTGAGTTCATGGGACATTGGGATAGATCGTATTTTGTAGTGCTCAATGGCTTCCAATCTGCCTTGCGAAACATTTCTCCGGGTGTCCTACAAGGGTCTCATTTGAGAACGGTTTTATTCAATATTTTCATTAATGACATCCCCAGCTGCTTTCGGTACTCAAATATCTTTTTATATGCCGATGATTTGAAAGCTGTCAGGATTGTTAAGACCGCAACTGATGCTTCCTGCTTGCAAGAGGACTTAAACAGGCTAGTGCAATCTAGTGGTCTAAAAACAACAAAGTGCACTTAATCCTATCACACTAAATTTACTAGAAAGTTCAACGTAATTCAGTATAAGTATCGCTTTAAACATGATAAAATTAAGGAAGTTGACACAATAAGGGATCTCGGAGTGTTGTTCGACAAGAAATCAACTTTCATACCTCACATTGATAGCATAATAAAAAGAGCATAAAAAAGATAGGATTTATTTTTAGAAACTCCAAACAATTTCGGCTTCATAGAACAAAAATCTTGTTGTACATGTAAATATTGTTGGCCTTGTTCGTAGCATGTTGGAGTATTGTAGCGTAGTCTAGCGGCCGCACTTTGCTACACGTGCAAAAACGTTTTCTATGGCACTTAGCTTTTCATTGTGGCATTGCTCAAAAAAGACGTACTTATGTCATCAGATTAAATTATTTTAAAATGACGTCAGTTGATAAACGTCGACGCTTAAATGGTCCAGTGTTCGTGTGCAAGGTAATGACCCATAAAATCGACTGTCACAAATCTTATATCGCTTTGATTTCCGCGTCCCCTCAAGAATACCTCGCAAAGCTATAACACCATTGCGCACACCGCACAGAAGAAGATGTTGGGTTCCAATTCACCATATGCTCGGTTTTGAAAAGTCGTCAAAATAAAGAATAGGGTGTCAAAGTTTAGGTCAATCAAGTCACTACTTGATTGACCTAAACTTTGACACCCTATTCTTTTTTTTCTGAAATCCCCACGGATACCACCCACCGGTGGTTATGTCGGACTCGAACCGACCAAAAACCACACGTCGTCTCGGGTACCAGTTACCGGGGAACCAGGTGTACCCTAGGAAGTAAATCCCTGATACCCCGACGAACCTCGGGCCATCTACGGCGTGTAGATTACCCCCTTCTGTGTGGGAACCCCTATGTCCCCTTCGTGCTCTCAGAACGGTTTATTATTACTCGTAAACTAATAAAGCCTACTTAACTGTAATAGTTTTCTTTTCAAATTCGTTATATATGCTGCTACCCTGAATTTTTTTAGATCTTCTAATGCCAGCTAGGAGGAGGGCGGAGAACTTTAATGGCAATAAAGGTTTAAGATTTTATTTTACCACTTTGTCGCCGTGATTAGTCTATATATTCATGCGGTATTACAGGTTTCTAGCACTAATAGCTAGTCTGTGAGATATGTGTGGAAAGACATATATAGGCATGACGGACATGACGAAACTATAAGGGTTCCTTTTTGCCATTTTGGCTATGTAACCCTAAAAAAACAGTACACACAGAGAAAGAAGTTCATTTTTATTATAACGCAGGGAGCAAATGAGGAGACGAACTAACCGACTAAGTCCGCCCATGGGACGCCAGCAATTACATTATTCGTACCTTTTTTTTTTTTTTTTTTTTTTTTTCCGTGCGGAAATCCCCTCGGAT